TACTTTTGGCAAAGTTGGGATAGTAAATAAGCGGTTTGAAAAGGGTTCGGGTAAGATTTTTACCGCCGTATCAGTTTTTTTTTTTTTTTTAATATTCAAAAAGAGGATTTGAATATGAATCTATTACCAAGTCGCATATGTATTTATTACTAGGCTATATTTTGGTGTACATTATCGTATCAGGTTTGAAATCAAGGACTCGAGTATTAAAATAATTATTTTTCTCGAAAGAAATTTTTATATATACACCTTTCTAATTATAATTATTGTTATAATTATTTTTAATATTTATATTATATTATTTTTTATTAAGGCAAAATAATAATTTCATAATTTTTTTATTTTTCAAAAATAAAAAATATTTTAATGCTAAATGGATTCAAATATTTAAACGGATAATTATAATTGTATTTGACATGAGTTCGAACATTAAATATGAATCTCTAAATAGATTAAAATATCTAATTTATAATCGGATTTGAATTCAAGTAGAGCATTTTAAGCGGATATCCAACCTGCTGCCATCCTAAAATATAGAGGTAGATGTCTGGTTCACTAAACCAATACTTCCATGGCGCTAAAATTTTGAAATTAGAATTAAAATAAATTATCTTGGCCAGAATCACCGATTCAAACTAGCAAAAATTCTGAAAAATATAAAAGAAAGAAAATGGCTTCCTGAAATCAGTTCACAATTGCTAGTTAAATTGGTGTTTCTTGGCCGAAGAAAACCCAATCTTACCTCCTTGGAACCGTCCGTTCAGTGAATTGGATCAGAAAGAAGGCAAGAATTGAAACCAAGTCCGTGAACCAGAAATTCCAATTTGGCTCAGCATCAAAATAATTGAACTGGTTCTTATCCTATCTTTTGTCAAGTCAATTTCCAATTCAAATCAAACCGATGGCTAGCTCTAGTTGAATGCAATGCACATGCTACTCCCTCTCTTCATACTATTCAATGCATTAAATATGTATTTTTATTTATTCTTGGCATAATATATAAATTTGATCATATACTTTTGGCAATTATCCTTGTGGCCCCTTGAACTTTACGAGAAACTTATCATGACCCTACACTTTCACATTTAAATAATAATTATGCCTCTCGCCAAAATGAAATGTGAAAGTATAAGGCTATAATTGAACCTTTGCAAAAATATTTCATTTGGACTAGGGATATAATTCAGTGACGGAGCCAAGATTTTTTCATACGGCAAGAAAATGTATTTGTCACTTCATATGATGAATAAGAAATAAACTTGATTAAAAAAAATACCTAAAAAAATATAGTTACCTAAATAAATATATATTTTATTTGGTCAAAAAATTTTTAATGAAAATAGTATAAATGACAATAAAAAATTTTAATATAGATAATAACTTTCAATCTGAAAGAAATAATGACTTCCTAAAATTGATATATTATACTTACAATGAAAATAACAATTAACATTTAAAATTTTAGATATGTTACTGTAATTCTAAAAACTTGATTAATTCAGTTTCATATTATTTTTAAAAAAAATACTAAAATAGAATCATAAATTATAATATTAGATTCATCTCTTTGAATAAATTAAAAATCATATGTATTTATTTAATCAATTTAGAATTCTAAAGTTTTTTTTAAGTTATTAAGTTTTTAACTAAATAACCAATAATACACAATTGAAATATAAATTTATAATTGTTTATTTTAATATTTATATGAATTTTTATGTATTCATAGAATTAATCAAACTCAAAAACTAAAATTTAAAAAAGAATGTGAAATCAAATAACATAATATTAAAATTAATGATATAAATCATTCAATAGCAACAAATAATAATTTATAAAATTGTGAAACCTCGTGTATATATATATATATATATATATATTCGTGTATATATATATATATATATATATAATATATATATAAAACTAACTGAAATCATTTAGCTCTTAAAACTTGTATATGTAAAAACTAGTTGAAATAATTATTCTATATAAAACTAACTGAAATCATTAGCTAAAACTGTATATGTAAAAACTAGTTGAAATAATTATCTAAAACTCTATATATAATAATTAGCAGTCTTGCATTATTAGAAACGCTCATATCAAATGTAAAAATTAATAGTTTTTGAACCCAAATTTCTTTAAAGGGGCAAATAACATGCCAAAGGTTATAATGCAAATCGTTTCTAATACATAACTTATCGTTTAACAAGTTATTTATGAGACTCTTTACATCTAAAATTATCTAAATATTATGAGGACCAGAAAATTCAATCAATGTAAACCACAATTTCTCCCTTCTCAAAGAAATTCAAATTCTATAATAAAAGTTCTTTAATTCCAAGACAAATCACCCTTTTCGTTTCATGATTAAAACATATTTTAACTGTTTAGGTTAGAAAATATAAGTAATTAATAAAAAAAACCAATAGCAAAGAAAGTATTAGACAAAAATATATTAAAAATATAATAAAAATAATATCAAATAATGTAATCAAATTAATGAAATATGAGTAATATGTGTTGTCATAAAAAAAAAAACATTCTTTATTAAAAGAGTCATTTTAATGATACAATAGTATATATTCTATAATATAATATATATTAATAAATCAATTAGATTTTAGCTTTAGAGCATATTTTACATTTAATCTATTAATAAAAAAAATTATAAAAATTAATGATGTATAGACTTGTTATTTAATCTGCCCAAAAAAAATAAAAGGAAAATTATCAAATAAAACATAATCTGTATAAATAAAGAGAAAAAACAAAAAGAAAATTATATAAATAAAGACGAAAAACAAAAATAAAAACTAGAAAAAGGAAAAAATAAACTTCTAGAATTAAAGATGCTGTAGATGAGTTTGAACTCAGAAACAATAATCTAATATAATACTCTTCAACCACTAAACAGAAAGATACCGTTACTAAAAATTCTTATAAATATAGCAAGCCGTGGCCCCTTGCCCCACATCAATAATGATAGTAATGATGGTAGAGACGGTGGTATGTTAATTACATTATATATCGATTTTCATTTTAACATTTAGTAAGAAAAAATAATAATCCTTACATTAGTCTTTTTATCCATTGCCGTACTAAAAATAAAAAATAAAATGAAGTACCTAAAAATGTATCTTTGGTGACCAAGAACTACGAGATTGCTTTTCACCATATCGAAAGCAGACCAAAAGCATTCCCCTAGAAAAACTAGGCTTCCCTATTACACTGTTTACAAACAAACATAAAAATAGAATGACGATTACATTTTATAAATTTTTTTTTTTATTTCATAACCAAACATAGTAATGGAATATTAATTTACATTCAAGTACAATACATTTCTCACTGCGTTACATATCTAATGACATCTGACCAAACATAGGCTAGGTGTAAATGCTGCAATGAATTGATTCTGCCATTGACAGACACTACACTAATTTTTGGAATGTCATTGCTGGTCTTTGGGCTTAAGTTAATGCAATGCTCTACCATATTTGTCTTGATTACGATACATATTTTATTACATCTCACCAAACATAGTTTAGGTGTAAATGCTGCAATTAATTGATTCTGCCATTGACAGACACTGAACTAGTTTTTGGAATGTCATTGCTGGTATTTGGGCTCAAGTTAATGCAATGTTCTACCATATTTGTCTTGCATGCATGCCATACATTGATTGACAATGAAATTACAGTGATTTTGGAAGTAAGAGAAAGGGGAGAGATTGAGAGGAGGAGGTGGAAAATAAAGAAAACGAATATTGGGAACGGAATAGAAGTTAAACATCTAATTAGCTCCTCTTTCCTATTGAAAGGTTCTAAAAAAGGTTTGTTTAGACTACTAGGAAAGGCAAAAAACTATAGTACTAAATTGACATGGAATTAAAACAATTTATTTATTGCATTTTTTTTGGGTAAAATAAGAGAGTATAGCTCTAAGAAGACACGTACAATTTCCCTATATACGAATGAGTATATGTAGACATGAATTTCACTAAATACAAACCCGATGATGATTTTGTTTTTCTTTTGAAAAGAAATAAGAGTTGATTTTGAAAAAAAAAAAAAAAAACTTAGTACATGTAGTTGAGTGGCAAATTAATACTTGACACTCTATATTTCATAATCAAACATAATTGAAATACAAAATTAAACAAACTGAATAGACCAAATAGCATGGTTGGGTTCAATTATTCGGTTTTTACTTGAATTATGATCAACCCTAATTTCAAGTTTATTCCAAATTACGTAAAAAAAAGTTTAATTCCAATGAAATATTGATGTTATATTCTTTATTAATGAATTAATGAATTAGTATTATTTTTCTTTAAAAAAAACATTGTTAAACATCAATAATTTATAATAAAATAATACTTTCTATTTAAGTAAATTTATTAAATAATCTAATAAATGCAAAGTTAAAAAGTAATAATTTATTACTATGATCATAAAATAGTAAAATATAATTTAATTAGGAATCTTAAAACGTATTCATATTTCTCATCACTTAAATTCAATTTATTCAGAATAAAATTGAAATGTCAAATTTACTATTGAAAGTGCTCATAGTTTTTTAGTTAAGTAGTTATTGTATATCTCATCAAGTCCTAAGGTTTTTAGTATTATAAAAACGATTTATAATATTATAATATAAATAAAAATTTATATATAAAAATTAAATCACAAATAACTACAACAAGTATAAGCACATGAAATAGATCAACTCATGATTCACATTCATGAGTCAATGTATCACTTATAAGTCACGGTAACAATCAATTGTTGACAAGTTTTTCTTTTGTGTTAAATGTTTTTTTAGTGAATAATTAGAAATATCTTCATTTTTTTATCAGTTTAGTCTATGCATGGATTTATAGACCCGGTCTAAATAATTGAATCTCGTCTTTTATTACTTAGTACATCGTCATGTGTGGATGTACTCACATATAATTGCTATATGATCTTAAAACATTTCATATGCAAGGACAGTGCAGTTTAAAACTCCACGTCTATAAAACAGTACTCATTTCATAGTTTAGCTGTCCAATACTACAATCCAAAACAAACTCACTCTTAAAAGCAATGGCATTGATAGGTATCTTTGAAATCCTCTTAGCAACTCTTTGCTACGTAGCCGGTTGCTGGTTACGCAACCGCAGAAAATTAATAAGAAGCTGGCCGTTGATCGGAACGCTGCCATCTCTTTTACGCAACATAAACCGGTTACCGGACTGGATGATCGAGCTTGCCGGTCGAAAAGGCGGCACGACAATCTACAAAGGTTCTTTTACCGGCTTGTACGTAATATGCACTACTGATCCAGAAAATATAAAGCATATTATGAGTACAAACTTTAGCAACTATCCAAAAGGGTCAGAATACAAAGAAATCTACTCCGATGTTCTTGGAGATGGGATTTTTAACTCTGATTCTGAACTTTGGAGGAATCAAAGAAAGAACGCTGTTTCTTTAATCAACCACGAAAAGTTTCGCAAGTTTTTATTCCGCACTGCCAATGTTAAAGTCGAAAAAGGACTTTTTCCTGTTCTTGAGCTTATCTGTAGTGAAAACAAAGAAATAGACTTACAAGATTTGGTTCATAGATTTACTGCTGATATTACTTTCACTTTAGTTACAGGTTATGATCAAGAAACTCTGTCTACTGGTTTACTCGGTGATAAACTTGGAACTGCGCTAGAATATATTGAGGAAGCTTTATTTTATCGCCATATTCAGCCCAAAATGCTGTGGAAGTTTCAAAATTGGTTAGGGTTTGGCACAGAAAGAAAAGTGAAAGATGCTTTAAAAATGGTTGATGACGTAACCGCCAAATATATATCAATGAGACGACAAGGAATAGTAGAAGAAGGAGGAGGAGTCAATTTGTTAACACCATATGTTAATGAAAAATCGGATAAATTTTTAAGAGATACTATTTACAACTTTATGGTTGCAGGCAGAGAGAATTCTTTGAGCTGGTTTTTTTGGCTTCTGTCGAAAAATCCTCGCGTGGAAGCCAAGATAAGAGAGGAGTTGAGTTCTATAGTACCGGAAAGCGAAAGAGGAGAGAAAAAGATTCAGCTTCTTGAGTTAGAAAAGGTAAACAAATTATTATATCTGCATGCAGCTTTATGTGAAACATTAAGGATCTATCCTCCAGTTACATATGAGTACAAGGCACCATTGCAAAATGATATTTTACCAAGTGGGCATTATGTAGATCCAAAAATGAAAATACTTTTATCTTCTTATTTGATGGGGAGATTGAAATCTCTATGGGGAGAAGATTGTTTTGAATTCAAGCCGGAAAGATGGATATCTGAGCAAGGGAGGATTATACATCAATCGCCTTACAAGTTTCTTGCATTCAATGCAGGCCCAAGAACTTGTGTGGGAAAAGATATTGCTTTCGTCCAAATGAAAGCAATGGCAGCTTTTCTACTTCATAATTATAATATCGAGGTAGTTGAAGAACATGCTGTAGTTCCTAAATATACTTCTATTATTCTTCACATGAAGTACGGTTTAAAGGTTAGGATTAGTAGGAGATGGGCTTGACTTGTTACAATGTTTAATGTTTACTGTGTTCTGCATTAAATGACATAAGTTTTTACATGTTATTCTCATTACTCAGCCAGAGTTAAACGATCGGATTCTCCATTATATTTATGGAATTGCTTATTTTAAATTGTGTATTATTTAGAAACTTTGTCTCTCTCGTAATATAGTGTGTGTATATATATATATATATATATAATCAATAAAATCATACTCCTCCGCCCATTGAAATTTGAATATTAATTAAAAAAACTATTGAACTATCTCAATTTTAAAAAAAAAAATACATAATTGGCTAAATTACTATTATTAATTCTCTAAATAGTTAATGCTTATTTAATTGTGAAACACAAAGATAAAGGCAAAGTTAAAAAGCAACAATTGATACTATCTTAATTTTCTAATGTGATAGATGAAATGAAATAAAATAAAAAAATTGAAAAAGTATCAATTTAACGGTTAGGATTAGTAATGCGACATGGAATAACTTGATCGCACATATTACAGATCAATGGGGATATTTAAGTAATATCATCACTATAAAAAACTGTGTTTTGATACTGTCTCCCTTTTAGAATTTTGATTGAGGAAAATTATAGTCTTGTCCAAAAATATTTACTTTGTCTCATCAAATACAAATTTGACATAGAAACCCACCAATCCCATCATTTCTACAAGAAATATGATATTGTTATATTGAATGACAATGGAGGCAAAGGCGGTGGCACAGCGGCTTGTGACGGGAGGTGGCTGCTGGTGGTGTAAAGAAAATTTGATGAGAGGTGGCTGCTTCTTGTGGAGAGCTTGTAAAAGATGAGGGGAAGCATATATCAGATTTAGACAGAGAGAAAAAATAAAAGGAAACAGGAGGATTCAGAGGAAGATAGATACAAGGACAGTAATTCTAGTACTAGTGCATCGTTGAACTACTACATTCTTTAATCTTGCCATGTACAGCAGTACTTAATACATTAAAATAACAATATAAACCTTAAAAATTCAGAAAAATATACATTGTACTTAATAATATATAAAAATAATTATTTTAACAGTGATTTTACATTTTACTAATAATTGCTACTAAAATTTTTACCACCAATTATTCACCATTACCCGTGCGAAAGAATACGGACACTTAGACATGTAGTTCGATGTATAGTCAATACAAGCCTATTAATATTGAAACATTAATAAAATAAAAATGATAATTTTTTTTTTTATAAGACAGATGTCTAAATGCTATTTTATAAGAAAGAAAAATTAATTTTAACAGAATTTGTCTTTTTTATTACTTTATTAAATTTTTTTCACCAAAGATCATTTGAATTTTCTGACAGAGATTAATGCATAAAATTAAGAATGGATATGATACAATTTTATTTTTGTATAAACATAAAAATAGTTTTGTTTGGATAGAAAAGTAATTTTATTACGTCTAACTCCTTTTTAAAAATTTTTGAGGTATTAAAAATTTAAGTTAATATTCCTCAAAAAAAAAAAAATTTAAGTTAATATGAAAATTTAGTCTAGCTAGTTCAATTTAGTTAATTGAATAATCACTATGATAATTAAAATAAAAAACCAACTGGGTAGCAAAAGGGTGTGAACACTCGTTGAAAATTAAAAAAATAAAAATAAAAAGCAACCTAATAAGATATAAATGTCTAAAGTTTTAGATCTCAGTGATATGGGCTTGATTTTTAGATCTCGTAGTAGATGTAGAGAGTGAGAGCTCTCGAGTTCGAGTCCTCTTCATCACAAAGTTATCACAAATTTAGTGAATGTTATTTAAAGGGGAGACTGTTCCCTGCTGTGCAACCCACAATGTTATTAGGATCTATTGAGCCTCGTATGTGTAAAAAAAAAATAGAATTTACTAATTAAATGAGCAATAGCAATTTTTAAAGGATATAATATATATGTCAGTATAAAATAATTTTTTTAAATACAATATAAAATAGTTATTTCAAAATACCAACCTAAAATTAAATTAAATTAAATTATTTAATCAAAGAGTTTAATAGGTGAATTCAAAAGTTGAAGTGTGCATATCTATCGTATTAAACCATCATTTTGGAAGAAACGCGTTGCGAACCGCAAAAATATTAATGCATGTTCTAGAATACTGTTCTGCAGTTATTGCTGCTGCAATTATTTACCTTCTTCTGTTCACTTTTGCAGTCCTTGCTGATTCTTTATTTTACACCTCTGTGGGTCAACTATCCATATTAATTACATCTATCAATCCACTCCCACCTCCTTTCCATTAATTTTTACATTTTTTTGAACTTTTTACAAGAATTAAAAAATAATTAAATCACCTAAAGTTTAGAAAAATAAAAATAATTGAATAAATAACTTTTTAATTAATTTTTCTCATTAAAGAAAATAAAATTCAGTAGAAATATTCAGGTAAGTGTAAAGCTAAAATAAATAATTAATAATATCTTGATTTTTTAGAAATACTCATTTTGTTTCAAAATATAAGTCGTTTGATGATGATTGTTTTATCTTAAGTATGTTCTAAGTATTTTAAGGAGTAATAAATGAATTTTTTTTTAAATAAATCATATTAGAATTTCATTAAGAGAAAACTATATAGAGATATGAGATACATTTCAATATGTTTTTGTATTTTTGTATAAAAAGTCTAATAATAAACTATTTATACAAAGAATAAAAAAAACACAATATTGATTTGAAGTATCTGATCAAGTTGACAAAACATGATATTTGTGTCATTGACGATCACTTGCTCCATTTGGTGGCTATTTATGGCCACTGTTTGACTGTATGGTCTTTCTACAAGTCCGATCTGATCACCTTCAAATTTCTTCCTTCTCTTAGATAAGAGATATGTACTTCTTTCTGTATAACTATCCAAATAACAAAAGACGCTAGACAAAATCACCATCATGATGACAACAATAACTCAAAACTAGAATTGAGAACAAAATTTTAAGATATGAGCAACAATAAATGTCAATATTTGGACGATAATAACTCGAATCTATATGTAGATATGAGGATTATTTGCAAAAAAACAAACAAAAAAAAGGAAAAAGAGTGACCATGGGTGACTGCCTGTGGAAAAAAAGAAAAGAGTTTTTAAGTTTTAGGTCTTTGGAGAGGGAGAGAGCGCTCTTAATTTTGGAGAATCAATTTTGATTTACTCTTATTATATTAGATACAATAATAATTATCTTTACAAGTTAGATATAATAAGATAATTATCTTTGTGTTATTTAAGAGAATCAATTACTTTTTTAATTTTTATGCAAAAACTTTAAAAGATTTAAAATTTGAATAGGAAATAGTAATACAACACTCTAAATAAAGTTGTGTTTAATTCTCATTATATATATTCTAACTAATTGATATTTATTTATATTTTTATTCTATTAACCATATAATATTAATGGTATTCAAATTATTTGTTTTCGAATTAATAATTTTATATGATCATTTTATTTATAATCATTTAAAAATAATAAATAATTATTAAATATTCTTATAAAAATTAATTAATACCTTTTTATTTGTATACAATAAAATGGAAAAATAATATAGTTATCTCAGGAATAAAAAAATATATGAATTTGATAATTCATGAAATAATGATATTATTGATAACTATGTTACATATTTCAACAACAACTGCTATTAAAATTCACTAAACAACTAGCTCTGATTAATAAAATTTACTAAATTCACTGGCATCATTGACTCTATCAGTTAACAGTTAAACATAAACTTAAATCTTACAAGTTCTAACTGCTTGAAAATTTTTACCCTAAAATAGACATAGACCAAGAAAATAGTTGCACTCTTGCCGTAATCTTTTGAACAATTTCTATAAATTTTACTATAATTTAAAAATTGTTATGTATTAAGTTAGTTAAGTAATAGTAAACGACTTAATGCATAAATTTAAATCTGTATTTTCAACAATTATCTCTTAATCCTTAAACTTTACAGGAGCTATCCTAATTTTGCATTTTATATATTTTAATAATAATTATATCTCTGAATAAAAGGTAAAGTCATGGGCTATGATGGGCTTTTCTCCTTGGGAAATCGAAGGGTATACAGCTCTGTAGTCGTTGACAGCTCAGATGCATTATGGAGGCTCCAGGGGTTTTTAAAGCATTTGGTCGAGACAGTTAAGGTACTAGTATTCTCCAATCCTTGGAGGTGCAGTATTTCGCACATATACAGAGAAGCAAATACGTGTGCTGACTGGTTGGCTACTTATGCAGGTATCGTGCCTTTGGGTTCCCATTCCTTATATGAGTGCCCTGCTGATTTGAAGTAATGGATTAGCCACGACACTAGGGGTATTGCCCATTGTAGGCTCTGTGGGTAGCTGTGTTGCTTCTTCATTTTCTTACCCAAAAAGAATAAAATAAAACATAAAAATGTAAAGTCACAATTCAACCTCTCAGCAAAGTTATTTTATTTTGGTGAAGGGTAAAGTTATTATTGAAATATGAAAGCACATCACCGTAAATAGGGATGGAAGCGGGACGAGTATTTTAGATGTTCACCCTTCTCCGATCTGTTTCATAAGGGTACGGTAGTTTTAAACGGATTAAAGATAGATACAGAGAGTGAAATTATCACCCGTAATAAATACGGATAGAGTCCGAGTATAGGTTGGTATCTACTATATTAAATGGGTTTGATCATGGTACCTACAGGTATCCAACCTATTTATTAATAAAAAATATTTTTTTTAAATAAGTATGAATTTTTAGATAGTTTAAAATTCGCAGACATCATACATGTTTAAAGTGTACTTTAAACTGATTTGAAACACAGATGGTTACTGAAATTTTAAACTGGTTCAGATAATGTACTTAAACAGATATTTAAATAGATTTAGAACATATATAGATAGTAAAATTGAAAATAGGTATGAAAACAGTTAGATTAAAATCTATAGATACTCATCTCATTTTCATTCCTAGTCATAATTGAACCCCCACAAAATTTAGAGTAAAAAAGAATCGGCAAAGTTCAACATCAAATTCATGCATCAGAGCTAGTAGTAAACTAATTTGAGAATATCGTAATGTCTAACGTAGAATTACACAATTAATATAATTTATTTATGAATTTTATAATCATGATAAAA